TAATGTTTTCCTTCCTGGTTGGTATGCAATAATGAATTTGCTTTTTTTGTTAACTTGCCTCAGTAGGAGTGACTTATACTCCTTTTTGTAAATTCGTGTGATTGTTGAATATTTCCACTTTTATTAAGTGAATTTAGAAATATTTTGACTGTAACTTACTCTTTTGGTATGCCTTCTTTTCCCCACAAATATAAACCACTTTTATTCTGTCACATCAACTTTTTGCTACATGTGTACTTTGCAAGTATTTTCTCCCACTTTATATTTTAGCTTTGATCACTGAGTGTTCCTCATTCTAAAATATTTAAAATTGGTCTCCAGATATATAAATCCATGGAAATATACAGGAAATGTTCTTAAAAATTGAGTAACAGAGATCACTGATGTAGTTTCTTCTTTCCCAGTATTCAAATAAGTACCATGCACATTTATTGTAAGAGGATGACCAAGGACAGGCAGAAAGTATGAATAGAGTATTAGTTGGAATGATCCAAAGCTCTGTGGGATTGAGAGAGTTTCCAAGGTTCCAAGAAAAAAACAAATAAGTCCTCCACTCTGAACATGGCTCTGTCCTCTGATCTGAATCCAGAGACAGTGTATGATGTCACATTTTTATCCATCACACTCACTTTTGTGCATAATTAACCTGTCTTTCTATATCCTCCTGGCTCTGTCCCTTCTTTCTTCATTCACTGTGCATGAAATTTCAAATACTCTGTGCATGAATAAAAATAAGCTCAATGGAGTATCTACCTTCTATGTTGCTATAGTTCTCAGATTTTATGATGCTTGAATGTTGTAGCTTGTTATGACAGGACCATTCTCTCTCTCTCTCTCTCTCTCTCCATATATATATATATATATATATAATTGTTTTTCTCTATTGAAGTATGTATCACTACAAGGAAAAGGGAAACATTTGTAACCACAGAAAAAATACCAATAGCAACTAGAAGCTAGACAGATTCTCTTCCAGAGTTTCTGAAAAGAGTGTGGCTTTGCTAATACTTTGATATTAATTTTCTGTCATGATAATGAAAACATCCATAACTATAAAAGAATGAGTTTTTACTCTTTTAAGCTGTTATATTTGTGATTATTTCCTTTAGCAGCAGTGGGAATCTAGAGATTTTTTGCAAGTTTAATTGATGATGTGAACAAACTGAATCATGCTAAAGTGGTAGGTATCAAATATAACTACTGTTTTTCCAGTTGTGCATATTTTTGCAAATTATAATAGAAAGCTGCATAACATATTTTCAGAAACAGAAACAACTTGTTGAGGCAAACTCTTCAAATTTGACAGCATTTTAATTTTTTTCTTAAATGCTGCTTACTGCAGATGTGACTTTGGGAAGTATTCTTTTATATAACTTCTCATTATTTATTTGTTATAAAATATTTTGTTCTAAAATACTTTTGAATATATTTTATTTTTGCAGTTCAAAAGTGGAGGGCTGATTCTGACAAACTTCCTGAAAATATGTTTTTATTTATAAGGATTGGAGGAATTCTTTATTGCTTTTGTAATCTACTTAATTGACCAGAGAATTTACTGCTTCATGTTTCTTTCACTACTTTCACTGAGTGGATATACTTGTGTCTGTTTGGTGGTCTTGTTTTTTGTTGTTGTTGTTTGTTTGTTTCTGAATTGTAGGTTTTTGAGATTCTCACCAATCTTTTTAACATGGTGAAAGTAAGGTATATACAAAGTAGCTTCCTTGTGTGGCTTGCTATTTTAATTTTGTTCTTTCCCCAACTGTATAATAACAAAGCTTAAAACGTAGATACTTTCAAGGTCGCCAAAAATGAAGGGTGTAAAAATTTTTTTAAAAAAGTAGATGAAATGGAAAAGTCAACAAAGCATATGCACCTGGACTTCTGATGAATGTGTATAATGTGGTGAATTTCTGACTGAATGTTATCTAAGGTGTACTGTCATTGTGTAGATAAAAATTTGAGAGTGAAGACTTAAATTCAGAATGTTCACGTAAAACTGATTTCTCATCTTTAAGGTGTTTTAGAGTTTTCATCAGGGATATTAAAAGTTCCCTATACTTCTTATTGTGTAGTGTTTGGTGACTTTGAAACCATTCTTAAATTCACTTTTCTGAAACTTTAAAAAGCTGAGAGCAAAGTATCTTGTAGAACATAAAACAATCAATATAAAGTATAATTGTTGTTTAAATGGTATCTCAGACTATAAGTCATGTCTTTGAAAATTTATACTTAGAAACATGTGGCACATAGGAAAGAAAATTTACCAAAACCTACATATCTACTAATATTGTAGCCAAAATGTGACTAATAACATTTCATAATTTATCCATATTATCTATTAAATTCTGTATTTGTTACATTATTGTAAATGTTTTACCACACTGCCTAAGTTTTATAATATATTACAATTTTTTTTTATTTGCTACCATTGATTGAACCTAGGTACACTTGAGCACTGAGCCACATCCTGAGCTCCCATGCTCTTTTTGTATTTTTATTAGAGACAGTGTTTTGCTGAGTGACTGAGAGTCTTGCTAAGTAAAAGAGGCAATATTTGTATTTGTTATCCTGCTGCCTCATTGTCCCAAGTCACTGGAATTATTATAGGTGTGTATCATCATGGCTAGCATGTATTAGCAATCTTATGATTGATACTTGTTTCTCTTTGTTTTATAATAACCTACGATTATTTCATACAAAAAATTATGCAGTGTATTTTTGGGATGTATAATGTGTATTTTTGGTATGTATAAATATTTATAGTAATAGCATAAAGACTACAAGAAAATAAACAGTCTGTGGTAAGATTTTTATTTTGTATTTAGTAAACTCATATAATATTGACTCTGATTAAATTGAAATGATAAGATGGAAATTATAATTTTCATAGCAATCAGAAAAAATAATATATAGTGTCATTGAAATACTAGGAAAGAATAAGCTGAGTTTAATAATTATTTGTTCAAAATTATTGATGACCTCACTGGTCCTAAATGGTCCAAAGTAAGAAATAACTCAAATGTTCTTGAATGTTAAAATTAACACTTTGTAGTGAATCCATAAAATATGAAAGCAGCCATCAATACAAAGAAACACTGTACTGATGCACACATGCTTATTGACTCTCACAGATACTGTATAGTTCAGCAGCTGTATTTGAATTATATTTCATGATGTCAGGGAAAATAAAAATGTAGTTCTATAATCCTGTACACTAACATCCTTCTGGGAACAAAAAGTTGCATGTGAAAGAAAATGGTTTTTTTTTTGGGGGGGGGGATGATGTAAATATTCTGTGCTTAAAAGCAGTGAAGGTTTTTATCATTCTATTTGTTAAAACTATATAATGTTATTTCTATGACATTCAAGAGATGGACATATGACCTCACCAAAAATAAATATACAAGGAGAGGGGCTCATCACTGGTTCCCAGTTGAAAATGCATTAGCTCTGCGTGGTTTCCTTGTGTGCTCTGTAGATTTATCCACTTCAGCCTTTCATGTGGGGTTTATAGAAAAAAAGATTTGCCATGTTGAAAAAAATAAAAGAATTATTTTCTTATATCTTCAGGTGTTTAGCCAAACTGCTGCTGGAAAAAAATTCAGTAGATCTATCTTCTCTTGCTTTCATATCAAGAGACTGTTTCATGAAAAGAATGTCTAGGTTTAATCTAGGTTAAAAATCATTAGTGGACTATGAAAACCAAAGAAAAGGAACAAACTAAGTTACCTGTATATTGTATGTTATACACATTTTTTACTATTATCTCATGATGAGAAATAAAAATGATTCATTTAGCTTTATTTTCAAAACATAGTCCAATTTGATCTACCCAAATTATTCCCTATTTTAAAAAAAAAAAAACACTTGAGTGTTCTTGAAAGTGTTTTAATAGTAAAAAGTAGTAAAGGCTATGAAGCTGAAAAGAATCATGCTTCTATAGCAGAGGTGTAATTTTTTAGTTACTAAATTTCTAGAAAAGTTTTATTTTTATTTTATTTTATTTATTTATTTACTTATTTATTTATTTTGGTGCTAGGGATTTAACCTAGGGTCTTTGGCATTCAAGGCAAGCACTCTACCAATTTAACTATATCAAGAGCCCTAGAAAATTTGCATGATTATTGTGACCTAGGAAAATCTTTGAGTTTTTGAGTCAGGCAGTTGTGATTCTGGGTTCAAAACCTGACTAGCCTCTACTAGTATCTGTGGTATGGTAAAATTTTATAAATTTAGAATAGACATACAAATAGTCTCTGAAAGAAAAGGTAAAAAAGTATAAAATGCAAAAATATATCCAGTTCAATATCCTTCCCTTTATCCCAGGAAATTGTCAATACTCTTTTATAGCTTTTTTTTTTTATAAGAGATAGTATCTCTTTGTCAATATGTGAATAAAAAATGGCTTTTATATTACAGCCAGTAGAAGAGAGAGGATATGGAAATGTACTGGTATTGTGCTTAGACATAGAGTGTCTTGATTTCTTCCCATTTTTATCTTTGTAAACCCCACCATCTTAAGAAGGAGAAGCTCATATTAGGCTTATGAAGGAGAAGAGGCCATGTGGATGAGAATGAAAAGACTAGAGTGGACAGCCATTTCTCTTCCAGGAACAGGGCAACCATGTCCAATAGCAGAGCATGTGCTTGTAAAAATTTCTGCTGAAATCAGAATAGCCCAGAAAAACCCAGTCTAAATTTGGCTTACTCATAAACTGTTCATTTGAATCATGAATTAGTAAGTTGGCTGGTAGTGTGTAATACTTGACAGCTTGGTAATACTTGATAGCTTAAATGCATTTAATAGAAACAGGAAGCCAGAATTCAAAACATGATAATTTCAAGTTAACTGCATAGATTTAGGCATGAAAAAAGCACTAAATTTATTTTTATTGATTTAACATTGAAAGTTCTATAAAATGATTTTGAGTAATGCCAAAATGCATATAGACATGAAAATATTATTGTACTTTAACTCACAGCATACTCTACAAAAAAAGATAACACTGACAACCATAGTTGGATCTCTAGGATTAAGGCCTAATGGCAAAATAAAAAAGTTTTAATCTTTTTGTCCACAACTAAATTTTAGTTTCAAGGTGTAGACTGACATGAAGACATGAGGACATTTCTCCCTGGATTTGCATCATCCTTTGTTTTCTGTCTAATATATGAAAAGGCTACTGACCCTAACAATTATCACTTTAGAAGAATGGCCTGCCTTAGACAATTCTCATCTTATAGCACACTCCTGGGTCTAAAAATACCATTTCTTTCTCATTTGGTTTAAAGAAGAAATATTGTTAAGAAAGACATGTTTTTCAGCTCTAATAAGAAAAGAAGGTTTCAGTTATTCAATTTTCTGCAGTCCAGGAAACCACAGCACTCAGATATAAACTTGTGATGTGGCATCCATTTGCCACATGTGGCTAATGAGTTTTTGGAATGTGGCTGATCTACATTGAGAAGTATTAGAAGTGAAAAGAAGTATGAGAATTGAAAGTTGAATGAAAAATACATGTAGTCAGCTAACAAATTTCATTGTGTATATATTAGAATGATAAAATTATGGATATTTTGTGTTAAAAATATAATAATTTTCTTAGAAAATATAGTCATAATTTTATTATGTAATAAAA